ACAGACATTAACCTTGATGACATTATGTGAAGTGAAATAAGCCAGTAACAGAAAAACCGAACGAATCCACTTATATGAGGAATCTAAGTTGTCAATTTAAGGGAAATGGAAACAGAAAGTAGAATGGTGGTGATAGACACCAAAGATAAGTACTTTAATGAGTACAGATTTCCAGTTTTGCAAGATGAAAAGTTCAGGAGATCTGTTTCACATCAATGTAAATGTAGTTACACTACTCAACTGTACACTTGAAAATGGTGGAGATGGTAAATTTTATGTTATATGTTTTTTTCCCCACATAACAAATTCCTTTAAAATTATAACATTTGAGTTTCAAATATTTTGTAAAAAGCATTATACAAAGATTTGTCAAAACAGTATGAAAGATACATTATATGAACTTTTCTTCACTGAAGTGGACATTAACTGTCTAAACCTTGATATTATTACAGAAGAGATGGAAACAAATTCATACCAGAGCAATTCCTGCAGCAAACTGTGGATCGCATGCCATTCCATGATATGTTACTCCCACATAATTAGGATGGTCCCTATAACTAAATAACAAAATTTTTTATTGTGAATAAATACATTTTAAAATATTAATAATTTAATGATATTTAAAAATTGGATTCCTCAATAAAGTTATGCTCTCTTTAAAACATGGAAATTACATATCATGTTTTATGCTTTCAATCATTTACTATTTGGTAATTTTCCATGGTTCATATCAAGTTAATTTCTAAAGGCTATTTAATATTAAATGACACACAGTCCAAAACATAGCAGTGCCTAATCTTTCCAAAAAATTAGTCATCACTACTGTCATCACTGGATCAACAACATTCAAGATATAAAAGTCAGGATTGTTTACTGCTGTGATTTATACATATATACAACCCTAAAAGTGTGTAAAAAATGTTGGATTGGAGGAGAGGAAAGGAAAGAGATAAAATATGCAGCAGACTCATTAACAAGAGGCACGGCATATAGAAAGTGCTCTCACACATTCTAGTCCTTCATTAATGTTGCTCTGAATCCTGGAAGCTCCTTAGATTCCACAGGAGACACTAATCGATTTACAAATATATTCCATATTGATTAAGATCTGTAGAATTGTGTTTTTCAATTTTTGAATATGAAATAATCAAATAAGTAAAACAAAAATCTTAATAAAGACTCTTGAAAGATACAGGATAAGTAGATAAAAAAGCTGCATCTTAGGTCAGTATAGTAGGTAAGGACAGAAATGGTAAAGTGGTCCATTTCAGTTATTCACTGTTTTACAGTTTTGTGCTGTAGCCAGCATTACATGCAGTTATTGCATTTGTGGACTGATTTACGTCTCATCTGACGTTAACATGGTGTTTTCAGTTCTTCACCTCTGAGAAGATCTTTACAACCATCCAGTCTCCACGTTTATCTCAAGACTTTCCATTTTCTAGCTCATGATACGTCTGTAAGTGAACAGTCCACTCAGGATAACGGCCTACTGTGACTTAGTTAGTGTCTTACATGGTATCAGATTTTTATATTTTGCATCTCACCAACACAATATGCTTATCATCTGTTAAAAGATTATCATCTTACATAATTTCTATATAATTCTGAAAGCTAACATATCAAATAATTTGATAAACCCTCTACCACTGTCAATCGAGTGCTTACACTAGTAAGTACGCCATGTCATGGGACCTTTGAAACAAAAATTTTCGTTTCCATAACAAAAATCTTTGTAGTACTTCATCAGCATCCCCATTCGTTGAAATCTTATTTTGATCTGACCAGAGCTCCAAGGAAGATAGCATAACAGTCACATTGAGCTGGGAAAACATCTGAAAACAGAAGATACGCATTATACAGTTTCAGATAATCATAAATACAATACTACATCTTTACACATGATGCTAATGTGATCAATTTACTTTGTTTTTTTGGAGATGAATTCATTGCCGTATGAAACTAGTTGGTAGGACTATACTTTCTAAATAATGTACATATTATTGATACAAATGATGTTTATGCATTAATTTGAATTTTTCTTATTAAAATATGAAATACGAATTACTTACAGTGTTGATAAGCCCAAAGATATGGACAACTTTCTCAGTTGCAACTGCCACCTCAGAACCCATGTAGTCATACTGCAAGACAAATGTTATTCTTAGTCACTAGTAAAAGTGACTAGACTACAACATAGTAAATGGATATAAAAACAAAAGATAAAGCAAACAGTGCTCGATTGAAGGTGCAAAAGTAGAATTGAGACTTACCAAATGCTTACTAGGGACTTTGTAAATTAGTCGACAACATTAAAATGAGATAGTTGTGCTTATCTACCTCTTTACACATATAAAAATTAAGGGTCAAAGTATTAAAGTTTCAAGAGCACATAACCAATAAAGATGAGAACCAGTACACAAATCTCTAACTAATTAAACTACTAAAACTACTTTTTCCTACTGTACCAGTTGAATGCCGCCTCATTTGTCTTCATCCCAATAAGACAAGCTGACTATACATCCTGGATAAACAAGGCACTTTCTAAAGACAGAGCCCTGACTACCATGGTAGTGAACAATTTCAAGAATATATCCTCATTCAAGGGAATGAAAATTATATTTTATATGAAATATTATTTCCAATTATGTGTGCATGCACACATCTGAGTGTTTGCTATCTGTTTTGCACCTTGCTTCTTCTCTGTATGTGAACTGTCCCAATAAACCATGATGCACAGTTACACACTCAGCGTGTGCGGTATGAGTGAAGGTAATCCTTTGCAAGGCTAAACATATGACTATCAAACAAAAACAAAAATATATGATTATGGAAATGAATCCAAATATATCAATAAGCACTAAATATTAAAAGACTAAACACTAAATGTCAAAGATTTAAAAAAAACCCACTATAGGGCCGGCCCGGTGGCGCACTGGAGAGTGCGTCGCTTGGGAGCGTGGCGGCACTCCCGCCGAGGGTGCGGATCCCATGTGGTGACCGGTTCCTGCTCACTGGCTGAGCGCAGCACGGGCGCAACACTGAGGGTTGCAATCCCGTTACCGGCCAGTAAAAAAGACAAAAAGGAAAAAAAAAACCCACTATATGCAAATTAAAATTAAAAACTCTAAAATATAAGGATATATAAATATTCAGTAAAAAGATGAGAAGATATTATCCAGATAATACCATGAAAATACTAGACAAGAGCATATGTTATGTTCTGTGAGAGTTATATTAATCAATATAATAGTTATATTGATAAGAATAAAGCTTAAAGCAAAAAGTAGTCATGATTATCACAACATATTGATAAAATGTTCAATTCATCAGAAATAGGAAAACATTCTAAACTTGCAAATAACTAATAACATGGCTACAAAATATATAAAACAGGATTCAACAGAATTATACATAAAAATTGACTATCATAGTGAGATGTTTTTACATAGTTCTCTCAATGAAAGGCAAATTAACAGTAAAGAGACACAGTAGTGATACACAATATTTGAAAAACCCAAGCAAATGTTGAATATAATATACATGTCCATATAGATGACAGTATGCAATAATGAGAGAATATGTGTTTTTCAAACATAAATGAAAGTTTTATATAAGGCCATAAAACAGTTCTCTGAATATAAAACATAGTGTCCGTTAGATCACGTTATCTGACCACAACACAATAAAGTTATAGTGGACTTGATAAATGTACAAGGCTATTTTTACTAAGATAAATAACTCTGTCTTGGTTATATGAGATAATGCTCTTATTTTTTAGGAGTAAAACTCCATGATGTGATTTACAACTTACTTTCAAATTCAAATGAAGAGAGCACGGGTGAGAATGGACTACAAGATTAACAATAAATGTGGGTAAAGACAATAAAGGTGTCCTCTGTGTTATTCCTATTCTTGCAACTTTTCTGAAAGTTCGAAGTTATTTCCAAATAAAATGCTTAAGAAGTTAAGATGAAAAAAGATAAATTCAGATGAACAAAAGCCAGAGAGAATTCAACAGGCTGAAGAGAAATATCAAAAACGTGGACTTATTAGAAGGAATGAAAAGCTTTACAAATGGTAAATATGTAGTAAAAATAAATTTTTCCCTTTCCTCAATTTCTTTAAAAAAGTGCATATTTAATTAAAAATAGTTAATTTTGGTGTTTATAACACATGGAGAAGTAAGATATAACAAAATCACAATGACTGATTGGGGCAAAATGGAATTTGCTGTTGTAAGGCTCATATGCAAGGTTGTAACCGATAATTCTAAATAATGACCATTTAAGAAAACTAATTGGAACAACTAAAGAAATCTCTGGACAGAGGGATTGGAAAGAGTGGAACAGGAAAGAGTGAAAACACACACACACACGTAAATGATACTGGCAGTAAAAGCAAATGCTAAAAATAACCCACTAGATTCAAGGCAAGGCAATAGTTGCTTCAGATGCTGACTCATTTCTGCCATCTCTTCGCGGAGGAAAAGATGGCAACAGGTCTGGAGCGGCCGTGACAGGAGACAGCGTGATCCTGTGAGCCGTGCGCTGTGATAC